TTGTTGGTGTAGTAGCTGCTGCTGTTTTCAGACTAGAAGAGCTGTTGAAGTGTGGTTGTCATAGTTTCTGTTGGAAAATGAGCTGGGAGCTGGACAAGCTTTCTGGTTTTCCGATCACACCGTCGACTTCAGCTTTTACCTCTCGAATCCTTGCAAGCAAGAGGCCACTGGGCCAAAAATGTTGCATGTCATGTTTGGACCTTGAAAATGTGTATATTTACCGTATCACTCGATTCTCAACCAACAAGTACCAAGTTCAGTCCCCTCAACTTCCTGTTTCGGACCCGATGGCAGACTCGTTGTGCCCAGCATGAAGCCCAACGCCACAAGAGTGCTGCTTGCTGTTGCGTTGGCAGCTGTTGTGCAGTGGGCAAGAACACCGGTGTTTGCAACACCACGGGCTAGAAGCAGGCACGTGTCTCGCAGACGTGCTCTAGACGAGCTATCAGCACTGGCGAATGTTGTGCAAGACCCAAGTTTTCCAGCTGCAGTCGCAAGTGCATGGAACGTGGTGCAAACAACTCTGACACCTGCAGCCGAGCTGGTGGACAGCCTAAAAAAAGTGCAAAACATTGCGGAGACCTGGAGAAAGCGAGAGGTTTATGAAGGCAACGATGCGAAGACACATGCTGACAAATTGACAGAAGGTATTGAAAAATTTGTAGATGCGGGGAATAATGTTCTCATCCCGATTGCGCAAGAGGCAGACTTGCCTCCTGAGCCAATCAGAGGTACGCCCTTCGAGAAGCTCATGGTTGCAGTTCTTCAGAATACAAGCGTGGCTGGATTCTACGCACTGCACGCAGAGCCTGGTGCTGGAAAGTCAACTGCTGCAACACTGGCAGCACTTGAGCTGAAAGGAAGACAGCCGAAGGATGTCATCGTCCTTTTGCAGAACGACTTTGAGCGGCAGCTGAAGTCTTTCTTCCGCCTCTCCAACATCGAGTACACTGCAGAAATCGCCCGCCCATTCTTCACCAGTCTGAGGGATAAGGGTATCAGAGTGAGGTTAATTTTGGACAATGTTCTAGACAGCAGTACAATTATCATTCAATCTGGAGATAGATTGAGAGCGCTCGCCCGGGCTGCGAATGACAACCTTCACCAGGTCATTGTCATCGTGCAGAGTGAAGCTGCAGCGCAGGAAATCGGAGGTCTCAATGGTGATACAACGCGGAAAGGGAATCAGATGCCAGCAGAGTTTTACAGGTGGTCTAGAGAAGAGACGGAGGAGCTCTTGAAGAGCACGAATATTCAAGAACTCTTGAAGAAGCCGCTACGAGATGATGAAGAAGCTGAAGACCTAAACGTTCTCCTGGCTGAGGCTCTAGAGCTTTCGGAAATCCCAGACAAGTATGGCCGTTGGAGACCCAGAAGTACCAAACGATACATCATGACTGGGGATAGACCAACTGCACCGCTCCCTATCCCAGGCAGGGTTCGCGCACATGTCATGATGTGTGCTTCTTCGGAGTCCTTTTCTCTTGTTTGATCTGCAATTCTCGGCGACGCTGCGTCTGTTATAGCACCCTGTGAGGCCCATCTGCCGGATCTGCAGGCACGAGAGTTGCAAGGTTTGAGATCGTGCTAAGACGTGTGTCTATGTAGGCTGGAGGATTAAAGATACCAGGCTTTGGCGTTCTGTGAGGCACGACCTCCGCGTCCGTCTGGGTGCGGGAGCTGGCGCGGAACAAGGACACTGTTGTGCACGTGTCGTTGAGTTCTTGGCCAGGCTTGGTGGGCCCTGGCGCGGGATGTGGGGGAGGGGCTGGGCTCGGGATTGCTGGAGTGAGTCTGTAAGTTTGCTGTCAGTTCATGTTTGCAGCGATGACCTTCGACTTGCAGGACAAACAGCTCACGGCCAGGCCCTCGGAGGATACCGGTTGTGCATTCATATGTTGTCCTTGTTGTCGAAAGCTGTGCATTCTCCAAGACGGGTGGTTTATTTTGTTCGCATCTCTTTTGCAAAGTTGCCGACCCACAAATGAAGTTCGAGGATGGCAAGGAGTTTGAGCCCACGGGCAATGCGTTCCAAGTTCAAGGAGCCTTCGCCAACGCCGCGACCTTAGCTGCGCCAGTGAATCGTCTCCGCGCTTTTGGTGAGCGATGTCAGGTGGATGACCTGAAGAAGGCCCTGTGCTTAGAACTTGAGCTTGGATTTAGCTCGGGAGTTGTTTGCAGAAGGGCGATGACAAAGATTGTAGTTTTGAGTGTAGCCCATGAAATTAGGCAATCAAAGCGGAAGAGGAACTGTCCAGAATCCTTTGTTTATCGCTGCAGGCAATCGACCCTTCCTTGTCTGCATTTCAAGCGTCCAAGATCAACATTTACAGCCAGCAGGAGAGCTTTTCAGGTCAAACCCGCTCTCCCACCCTCCCTCCCTGTGCCGCGTCTCAGCTTGACTTTGCAGGATAGGGACTGGGTGAAGGAAGACGAAGACATCGAAGTCAGTCGCGGCACATCCAAGCCCAGCGCTTGGCTTCGATGCCTTTTCAGCTTACGGGTTTTGCCGTCGCCCCGCTCGGAGGTCAGATTGCTACGGGTTCACGCTGCCACAAAAGACGGACGATGTGTAGGTTGCATGCGTGTGCCTCAGCAGCACTGGAGTTTGAGCGCTGTGAACTTGCATCCTCCCTGTCGTGTGAGCTTCTCGGCTGAGGTAGCAGCAGCATTCACTGACGTTTTTTTTGCGCTGCGGCTTTGCTTG